AGCTTCCACTAAGTATAAACTTAGAAATTAGAAAAATGTTAGAATGAAACACTTTAGATGTATGAAGAGTATGTAAATACAAATTTCAAATACAACTTTTAAATACAAATTAACAAACGAATTGGCTTTGCAGGCAAAGGTGAGATATTTGTAAGCCAGTATTTCTTGAACGTAGCTCTTAAAGTTCTCGTGCAAATGAAGAATTCGTATCGAGTTAGAAATTTGTGTAGCAGGACCAAGATTCATCCCAAAGTCCTCCACGCGTAGTCTTGAAGTGTCTTAGATATTTTAGCTGAGAATCAAGAATACTGTAGGTTCGAAATTAACAGTTGGAGTATTCAGGAGTTCGATACTTGTCTTTGTAAGATAAAAAAATCTCGTCAGATGGTGTTACCTTGATTGCTGAGAAGTCGAATGAACGATAGGGTGGAAGACTGTGTCCTGGCAGAGGCAGCAGGCGTTGCTTATATGGCCATGTGCTACCATTGGGGACCCCTCCTCAAAAAATCATCGTTCCGGTACCCCTCCCATCCGAACAAAGACTTGTATACCAGAAGAAAATTAGGTCGATCTACATGGTTCCTCCACATGCTTAATATTCGATAAAACCTGCTTCGTGGGACCTGATGGCTACCATACTCTCTGCCTCTCCGCGTGACTATTTCGTAATTCTGGATCAAAGTCATTAGTGGCACCTAATCGAGAGGTCTTTGTCTCTTGTCAACCTCAGAGAAATCGAATTGGTTAGCAACTTTCTCTTGGTAACGTTAATAATCAACAAGTAGCACATATAACCATTTTTTAAAATTTTATTTTAATTTAATTTGATATGATTCTCGACAGTTAATTGATCATAAGAAGCGTTTAGCAATTATCATACGAGACGTGAGATACAATTTAAATAAATCCATGGACCTGAAATTTTTTAATTTTTGTTTTACTTAATTCGACACGATTCTCAGCAGCTCATATATAGAAGTGCTTGGTGATTATTGTCTGCGAGATGGGGTCCGAAGTAAATCGCCATCTAGGGGCGGTTGCTCGAGGCTATTAACGTCTTTCCACACTCTTTAAATAGAATTGGGTGAAGGTTCCCTGGAAAGTAGTAATATATTTAAATAAAACTCGCACCTGTGGCAAAATTGTTGCGCATCTAGGAGTGACAACACTTGGCATAAGTGTCAAAGAGACTCTGCTCGTACATTATTGAGAAATAAAATAAACAAAGGGCTAGAATAATCGAAAATAAATATGAATATAAATATGAATGCCTCTGGACGATTGATAAACAGCATTTTGTATACTTCTCAGGCTACGTGTGCATATTGTTAAGCAAATAATATAAATCAAATAAATACAGTGAATTACGAATATATATATATATAGAGAGAGAGAGAGAGAGTCGAAAGAAAAACACGAAGCCATTAGGAATGACTCTGGACGATTGATAAATACTTGTACAAATTTTTTGAATGGCGAACGATTACGGGACGTTCGAAAGTGAAAACAGCGAAGTCAACTGGGTCGATGCGCTTCTAGAATTTGATTGATATTCCTCTCGCGCGGCCCTCGAACGGCCCCGTTTAAGACTCAACACTCGCCGAAACGTTGACACTGACATTACGCGATAAAAGAAAAAAGAAAAGAAAAGAAAAAAAAGAAGAGAAAAGAACGTTTCCTGAAGCGATCGCACGAAACCCTGCAATTTTACCTAATTTGAACGCTGAACCACAATGCAGCTCTCAAACTGAATTTGTAATACTTCCTTTCGTTACGTGCAAATGGAGGCTCGTTTTTTGAAATTGAGAACGAACCAATGTATCTTTTTTTTTACGAGTTGTATGTATGATATTCATGTCACAGGTTGTACATATATTATATTAATATCATAGCTTGTATATATTATATTAATATCAT